CTTTATACATGAAATTCAGAAGGAGTGCAAATGCTATAAGAGCTAATATCCATCGTTATCAGAAAATCGGTTGCTTTTGCAAATCAATTTCATTGTGATTTTAAAAAGCAGTAAAAAGCTAGCAAATTCTTTGACTGCGAAACGTCCAGCATTTAAGATTATATACACCATTCTGGACTGCTTGACAGTGAAAATTCATGCAGAATTCATGCAGAAATTATCCAAAAGATAAAATATAGACTCGTACAAAAGTAATCCCTCTCAATCATTACTTATGATCCACTAGATGTGTGTGGTGGGATTTGTTTCTACAGAGATACTGCCCTGTGCCTGTACAGTTATTATTTGCTTCTTGTTTTTGCTGTGCTCGGGACGTTTCTGGGCTGCAACTTTTGGCTCCAGCTAATAACGACGTGTGGCACAAGTGAGGCGGGACTTCATTAGGAAGTTATCGTTTATTTTAGTTCAAGAAGCTAGTGCGCCAAGTTCTCCTGTCTCGACACAAAAACAGTTCAGTATGTTGCTTTCGCCTTATTGACTGCTGTCTGTAACTGATAGATTACTACACAGTGTAATTATGTCTTTATGATGACACGTAATTATTGTTTACTACTGAATATGGCTAATTTCGCTCGCAAATTACAGCCAGTCATCTAACTATTAGCGAATAACTATTCATTCATATACAAAAATGCTATTTATGCATGATAAACACACTATTTAAAAAAATAATATTTGCAAAATACCACTAAATTCATCTTTCCGCGTGTAGTCTCTTGAGTCGGTTGAGGGTGTTCTGATGGTATCAAGTCAGGGACAGGGGGCTTATGGTGGCGTTCCGCCCGCAAGGAGGGGTGAAGTTTGAATGTTGTGTTTAAAAAACAATATCTAAAAATGGCCACCTGCACGAATGCCAAATAGAAATACAGATGCAGAAAGAAAGAAATACAGATAGAAGAGTAACAGTGCAGGTGCTGCATTGCACTTCATTAAACCTTTAGGCTATATAGTACAAATTAAACATCAAGATGCTTTTCCAGATTTTGTGTTTTGGTATTTTTGGTCATGTTCTACATAAATGAAAACACTAAAACAGCTTGGTCTTCTACTAGGTTACGGCATAAGATCTGCAAATGCCTCTCACACATTACAATGTATATTTCAGTATACTCTACACTCTTAAAAATAAAGGTGCTTCACGATGCCATAGAAGAACCTTTTTGTCTAAATGGTTCCATAAAGAACCTTTAACATCTGAAGAACCTTTCTGTTTCACATAAGGTTCTTTGTGGCGAAAGAAGGTTCTTCAGATTATAAAAAGGTAAGAAAGAGATGGTTCTTTAAAGAACCTTTGACTGAATAGTTATTTGTGGAACCAAAAATGGTTCTTCTATGGCATCACTGTGAAGAACCATTTGAAGCACCTTTTATTTTAAGTGACTATTTTGAGAGGCACAAAATCACTTTCACATACTTTTACCTTAACTGCCCTGCTGGTGGAATGCCCTGCCAACCTGATCTAATTGCAACATCTTCAAGAAATGGCTAAAGACACTCTCTTCCACACTTGACCCTCTAATACAATAGAACTCAAAGGCGAGGTAGAAATAGAATATATATATTCTATCCTTAATATTTTATTATGCCAAACCTTGTGAGCTGCTAAACAGTCACAATAACAATGACAATAAAACTATTCTATTCTATTCTATTCTATTATTAATGGGATAATTCACCCAAATATGGTCTTCATGTTGTTCCATACCTGTACGAATTTCTTCTGTTGAAAAAGAAGAGAATATAAAAGATACAAAAGAAGAAAAATGTTGGTAACCAATCAGTTGCTGGTAACCATTGACTCCCCCCCCCCTGGGCTGCCTGCATAGCTTATTGTTCATGTTTTAGATCCATGGTTCCATAACTAATTTGATCCCTAAACATAAGTATTTGTTTTGTGGTACAATAGTGACCTAGTTTTTAATATTTTTTATTTGTGTTTCAGATTAGAAGCAGATACCAAGCTCAAAAAGAAAGTCTAGTCTTGCCAAAGACACAAGCAAGACAATGCCCTTAACAATCTGACAAGGCTGTGTGTGGGTACCTTAATCTATTCCAAACAGACCTCCTAAATCAAAAAGAGGAACAGAAAAATGTAAATAATGCAGTTTGACATTTAATCATAGCTTTCTTTCTACAGATGAATGTTTGACAACCACCACCTACAACTGCACTGATGAGCATTAATTTATACAACCACAAGCTGGTGAAATGTAGCGAAACATTTAAAAAAAAAAAAGAACATTGTGTTAGTAGCTTATGAACACACTGAAGATTCTTCCCCAAAAACAGATGCCTTAACATTTGATTTTAATGATTAAAAAAAAAAAAAACTTTGCTGCCTTGTTTCCAAATGAGGCACAAAGTATTTACAAAAATCAATACTGTGTTCATAATACAGTTAAACACACAATAAATATTCCACTGATTCTTCAGACATGAGTTTTCAAATGTCAAATGTGAAATGAATTCCATATTTTATCAAAAAGATATATATTACCACTCAATCCCCTAAAATTACATCTGTTATCAGACAACACTACGAAAATACAAATATCAGATGAGGACTCTGTATCGGCAAATATTCAACATTAAATGACTCTGGGGCAAAAAAATAAAAAATAAAAATAATGATTGGTACATCCCTAGTTTTTAGGCAATTTTAGGACTTTATTGCAGCACTTTAGCATTCCTCATTCTTAAGTAATTTAATGAATTTATTTAATTTGACAAATAAATTTATCCAAAATTTGAAAAGAATGTATTTTGGAAAAGTAAATTAAGTAACAAAGGTCGTTTCATACTTTCTGGACATTTTACCAAAACATTATTTGATTTTGACTGATTAAGTGCTCAAGATTTTTTATTTATTATTATTATTTTTATTTTATTTTTTTGTTTTTTTGCAATCAAGCTGCTAAATGGTTGAGCCATAAAAGTATGTTAAAGTCAATAAAAATACATTTCAATTTCAGAAGTTAATTTCAGAAACTTTTTTTTTTTTTGGTTGTTTTGTCCTTTTCAGTATCTGTTTTTTGTTGTCATTTGTAAAACAATGTTGAACAGGGGAACAGGATGAGGAAATTATGCAATCTGGACATGTCATCCACCTGTCAGAGCACATGCACAGCCCTGATGTAATGTTTTCATCAGACATTTCCATATAGGTTGGTGAAATCAGCATCAGAATCATAACCCTTAAAAGAAAATTTAAGATAGGCAGAAGTCAGTGAATAGCATATAAATCACAGAAACTGAGCATGTTTGCTATGCTGTAAGTAAATACATGTAAATGTAAATAAATGTACTCACATGGTAGGATTTTGGCTTACTGAAGTGCATGGGGAAAATAAGAATTTAAAAATCGCATGTTTGCATTTATCATAACAACTGTTAAGCTATATACATTTAATAGACTATTCATAGACCTGTATCTGCCAGCACATTCAGTGCTTAAGTATTATAATGCATGAAGACATTGATATTACAATAAACTGTGTTCATTTAATACATTTATAATTACCAAATTGCAGCTTAAAGAAAATCTATAATTGTTTTTTTTTTTTTTCTGTTAAAAAGATCAGTGTTAAAGTGGAAGGAATCCTGAAGTGGCATTGGGACTTTTAATTTGACACTCTGTTCATATAGACTTTATTCAATATTATTTTGCTGTGTAATGTGAATACTGACAGATTCATACTGTATGTGGTTGAAATGCACTGTACCTCTTTGGTGACAGCATATGAAGTTTGGAGAAAGGCTTGTTTCCTGACACTGTACATGTGTTGTTTGCCCTGTGAAGAGAGAAGGTTCATCAGTGATGCTTTCTTATATCTCTGTTTAATATACAATGACAACCATTCATTTTTAAAAATGTATAGTGTAAAATATAACTGATATTATTAATTTTTTTAAGAATAAAATACTGACTTGTATTCTGCTCTCAGATTTGTATTGGTTCTGGGTGATTGGTGTCTACAAGAAAAAGAGAATAAAATTAACAAATTGGAGTATTTTATTATTTAATAATGAAACACACAATGATTAAAAAAAGGTGAATACTGATTACCTAGAAAATCGGCTCCAGATGCTCTGTCTGTTGAGATTTGTGTGTCATGTAACGTTTAATATCAGGTAATGTATAATATGATTAATTGTTAACATAATTTATGGTTAATTTTAGTTATGTTAAATATATTTTCAACCTGCCTTTGTTCAGGCTTTGGTGGTCTTTCGGGAGCATCTCCAGTGTACCTGTAGATAACACTAGTTAAGGCACTGGAGAGAATCAACACTAACCAGACTTTCTTTCTTTTTACATTTTCATGATGTACTTGCCTGGTACCACTCCAGTTTCCCCTGTTATTCCAAGCTGCTCTTCCTTCAGGCATACTAAAACGACTGGGGGAGAATTTGAAAATAGTCTCAGGATAAGAAGAAAAAAAAAAAGATACAGATGCAAAGATGAGATCTTTGTAAAGTCCAACCTTGTGAATCTGTTCCAAACTGATCTCCTATATCAAAGAATAGGGTTAAAATTGCTAGTGCATTACAAATCAGAAAATCTTTGCTCTTAACATGAATTAATGAGTAAAAACGGATTAAATGAGTATGTCGTGCATACCTTGGCTCAGATCGTGTTAGTGAACCTTGCATATCCTGATGAGGCCGTCTACAATCGATAATGACAATGAGAAGTTGTCAATGCTGACTGATAAAAACAGAAACTGAGCACAGCAGTAGCAGATGCGTAAATTTAATAGCACCATCCATATTATTATGTCTGGATAAAATTGGTCTGCATGTACTTTTGAGTTATACTGTAAGCAGAAACCAGTGCACTTCTGACTTATTAGTGGTGCTAGATAGTTTGAGATGCAGAATCAATTACAACAGACATTTTGAAGAATGAGCATAAGCCAAAAAAAACAAAAAACACTTACTTGTGTCGCCTCTTGTAAATGAAGACTCCAGCAAATATGCAAATTAGGATGAACACAAGTGACGATCCAATGACATAAGGCCCAAAACCAACCCCTTGAACTCCTATGATAATTTGAATTTTAAAAAGTCACATCTCTTACAAATCATGACGTACAGTTTCTATTTGACCAGTCATATTAAAGTAGATCTCATAAACATATGTACATGCAAAGATCCTCCAAATAAATATTGGATGTAACCCTATCAGTCTGTACTTACTTCTAATACTGAGGAAGGCAGTATTTTCCTGTGTTTTACCACCCCAAAATTTGGCAGTGCAGACAATTTCATCTTTCTCTTCATATCCAGTAGGAATAAAGGTCACAGCGGACACTGTTTCCCAGACGCCTCCACCCATGTGACTGTGGCTGATAGTTTCTCGGGCTGTTGGGACGCTCCAGGTGATTTGGGGAGGGTGAGAGGAGCATGTGTGGTTGACTGAGCATTTGACGGCGACTCGTGTCCCGGGCTCGATGTCTTCAGGGAGGGATGACATCACAGGTTTGTCGGGAGATGCTTTATAATAAAAAACACAACATGTTTATACTAGTTCTGGGATGTGATGGATGAAAAACACTTTCAAAAGTATGTGAACCCAAGTGATTGGTTATATTTCCTCACCCCGTAATGTGGTTATATGTTCTCACCCCGCATTATAATGAACACACAGCTGTTGTTGAAGCTGTATCTCTCATTTTCTCTTTCTGCTCGGAAACAGAACGGCCCGTTGTCATGAGTTTGCACATTATCCATCTCCACAGTACAGTCTTGCTCATCCGGGTTTCCGAGGAGCCTTGTGCGGCCTTTGAAGTTGTCCAAGACATCAACTGGGTCGGTGTGGAACATGAAGCCACCTTTTTTGGTGACCCAAAGAACCCGAAGTCGAGTGACATATTCCTCCTCCATCTTGAAACTGCACGGTATTACCACACACGAACGAGGCAACGCAGTGATCTTGGGTATCACATCTGCCACGTGTTGGAAATAGGCTAAAATGATATGTGACACCATATAGTGGATTAATCAATTGTCACAGAACTGAACATGTCATTTCTAATCATATACTGTAAATCTGAGAATAGACATAGGGGATAAAAACATACTTTCATTCTGCATTGGACTAGCTGGTTTTTGATACTCTGTAAGACAATTAGTAGAAAACAATAAGCTTGGGATTTTAAAGTTTTACTTATTGTTGGGTTCTGCTTAAATAAACTCTTGTATTTGTGCTTCAGGCTAGAAACATACAGTACTTCATGCAAGTATGTGAACATTTGGTTGCACACATGCTTTCATAGCTCGAAGCCTCCGTGTTCACATACTTGCATATGTGTTTCAGGCCTTAATCTTCACCATCTTTATGGCAGTCAGCACATGATTTGTTTCTTGCTTTTGCAGATTCAAAATGAATCAATTATAAATAAAATTTAAAAAATCTGAACAAGACCGCAACACACATAATGTAAGATTACTCACGTTGCACACGTAAAACAACAGATGCCTTAAAGTCTGCTCCAGAAAATGTTGCAGTGCAAATCAGTTTCTTTTCATTGTCCTCTTTTGCAGCCAGAAAGGTTATGTTGGAATAGCTGATCTGATCTAAACCAGAGAGTTTTTTGTTCCCCGTTGTGACCTGCATGTTCTCATAGTTCCATGTGATGGTTGGATTCTCTTTCTGGCAGGAATGGTAGACGCTACAAATGAAGTTCTTTGCGATGCCCTCTGTGACATCTGCCAGTTCAGGCTCAATCGTTATTTTATGATGAGCACCTGAAATTGAACTGAAATCTTGTAATAGGTTCCACTGTGACATTGATAGTGAACTTATAGCTAATAGCATACATAACAGTTCATATTTGTGTTTACTCACATTCTGCGCTTTTGTCCTCTGTAGCTGTCACTGTTATGTCACCATAATGTGTTACTGAACACTTAATAGTCGAGCGCTCTGCCTTTAAGACACCTGTGCGTGTCAGAGTGATTTTCCACAGACTGTCTTTAGACTCATCCCTGATTTCGTCAGTTCCTTCTATACCGCTCAGAGTGATTTTTGGTTTGCTGAATGGACACGTGTGGGAAGCTGAACATGCTACTGTGACAGTGTCACCCGTCCTTTCACCTCCATAAATATAAATGCTGGGCTGATGTGGCTGTGCTACAATTGACAGAAACATTGGTATTAATACATAATATCAGTTTAAACCCAAAAATTGGTTAGAAGACAGTCAATGGGTCTATTGTTATGGTTATTATTGGCAACCACAAGAATATTTACATACTGTCAACAACAATAGTAGAGGTGACGTCATAAAATTTGTATGTGCGCCATCCAACATTTTCTGGGTCAATCCATGTGTATAATTTCTCTCCATGGTGGTACAGTTCAAGGTTTTTGATCAGCAGACTGCAATCCCAACTTGATGGTTCACGATATAAATAAGTTTTCTCTCTGAACTTCTCAATGACATAATTTGGATGCGATGGATCGTAAACTAAAGGATAACCTATAGAGACCCACTGATACCACACAACTCTACGTGGGTCTTTGGGTGGGTATGATGTGTAGTAGAAAGAACATGGTATAACCAGACAAGAACCTTTGAGGCCACGAATTTCCAATGGCATACTCACATACCATGCCAAAGCATCATTCAGCAGAACACCTGTGGGACAAAAGTTGGAGAACATTAATGGAAGGTAAATTAAGCAAACTTTTTCAAAAGTATTTCTTTTTGTTTTCTAACCACATGTTCTCTGCACATTCTCAATATTGTGAACATCCAAAACTATTACAGAAACAAACGAATGTTGAGTGGACAAATGTCAAGTGGTGGTTGAAAATGCGTCAAGTAGGAATCCCTGCAAATTACCTGAAAAAAAAAGATCCCACAACATTAATTTATTCTCTTATTTTGATTTGCCCTGCACGCTTAATAGACTGGTCCAAAATACAGCAGCTAGAGTCCTCACAAGAACCAGGAAGTATGACCATATTAGCCCGGTTCGGTCAAAACATTTTTATTACTGCATTTATATTTATACTGGTTATTGCATGCCACCCAATATCTGGAACACTTCCCAACATTTAATCAGTATTACAGCATTTATAACTTATTATTTTAAGCCAGTTCACACTGCACTGACAAACTCAGACCAACGCCAACAAACACGTTTTTTTTTTTTTTTTTTCAGATTTTGTTGTGTCAGTTTGTTTCCTCATCAGTATCTGGTGGCGTTGCTCGGCGCTTGTTTTTGCCGGCGTTGAATCAGTGTTTGCCTGTGGTCTGGAAATATCTGAGAAGTGACATACACTGGTGACTGTCAAATTCCTTGGCTTATCTGATGTAAATATCTAATCTTCTTATCTGCAATTTAGATTTTATGCACAATCTTAAACACAGTAAAATTACCATGAGGCAGCACTGGGGAAGACAAAACAAAAGCCTTCATAAATAAAGACCTGACCTGAAAAAAACCCACACTTTTGATACATTTCATAAATAGCCTTTCTAGATTTTATGTACTGTACTGTATACCCTTATCAACAGCATCTATGAAGAAAAAGAGAGGAAAAATTATACCTTGTAAAAGCAGTTTAAGTAGCAGAGGTCCCATCACGATCCTGGGTTTGCCCTTAAGTAAAAACAAAAACAACTGTTGATTTACATTATTATTATATTATTACATGTTATTTTATGCTATAAGTGGAGCCACCAAATCAAGACAAATTGGGCTAAAATTTATGGAAAATTAAACCTTAAGACTTTGGTTAAATAAAATGTAATATACTTTTATTTCCATTCTTACCTTCTTAATGAAGTCTCATTCACAAACAAATGGATTGGATAGAAAAGTTCTATGCCAAGCCCTGCAAAATGTGAGAGACTATGAAAGACAAAAACACTGCACAGTTATATGAAGAATATCCTATAAGAGGAGGCGTGAACGCTCTTTACTATGACTCAAGCATGGTTGAGAGAGTAACAGAGAGTGGAATATTTCATTTTCTTCCAAATAAGGCTGTCACACCTAGTGTTGCATCGTGAACTAATTGTAGACAGTCTATGCTAATTAAGGCTAAGACTGCTGTATAGTCCACTCCGTACAAATACCCATTAAAATTTTTCAAGCTTTGGGTTTTGAAATAACTTGAATAGTACAGTATGCATGTGCTGCTTGATAAAACTAGACAAACCCTTTAGATGCAAATAAAGAATAAAACAACATCAGTCATCACTCTGGTTAAGTAAGGTTAGGGCATGTACAGTACATTTTACTTGCTAAACTTTGACAGTTGTTTAATTGATTTGTTGAGGTGTTAAAAGTATCCCGAATCACTAAAACCCCTTGAAATACATGTTAATACTTTTTAGTTGTGTTTAGAAAGTTTTAATGCCTGTCTGTGGTATTGCTAAATGAGGTAACAGATAAAATGTTCTTGTCTTGATCAAGACAGTTGTGAATATACAAATGATAGATTGGTGGTTTATTCATGAGTTATTTTTTGTAACTCATTTTAATCGTGATTTCAAAAAAGCAGGTAAATTATTTGACTCAGAAACGTCCAGAATTTAAGATGAAATTACATTCTGCTTGGTGAAAATTCTATTCTGAAACCACCTGTCAAAACAGAGCATGAGACGAGAATGAGAGAAATTAAGTGAAGTGACATGTGGCCAAGTATGGTGACCCATACTCGGAATTAGTGCTCTGCATTTATCCCATCCAAAGTGCACACTGCACACACACAGCAGTGAACACACACACACGGAGCAGTGGGCAGCCATTTATGCTGCTGCGCCCGGGGAGCAGTTGGGGGTTCGGTGCCTTGCTCAAGGGCACCTCAGTCGTGATATTGAAGGTGGGAGAGAGCGCTGTACATTCACTCCCCCCACCTACAATCCCTGCCGGTACGAGACTTGAACCCACAACCTTTGGGTTATGAGTCCGACTCTCTAACCATTAGGCCACGACTCCCCCGAGAGTAAGAGAAATCCACACGCCAATGAGTAACAGTGAATATATTGCATCATGCTTTATTAAACCTTTAGGCTACATGGTACAAATTAAATGTAACGATGTTATTTAAAAAAAAATACATTTTAGTATTTTTTGGTCCATAATTCACTAAAATAAACACACAAAAACACATCTGAAATTATTCACACAAACATCTCACAAATTATTTATCAAAAATGACAATAAAAATACAGTAGGGGTCATGAACTGCATTTGTTTTATTATTATTTTATAAAGTTCATTTTAGGTCCACTTATATTGTTAGCAAGAAGAAAAAAACAACAATTTAGAAGTAATAGGCTATTTGCGATCCTGTTTTTGACCATCTCTGTAGAGCAGTCTGTTTTTCAGAACAAGAACGTCTCAACGAGACGTTTTGGCAGCTTGGTTTCAATAAGAGCTGTTTTTGAGCCAACGAGAAAGTTTTGAGTTCTGAAACTTACTTGATGTTTTTTTTATAGTTCATTGACCTGACATATATCAAACGATCAAGGGAAATTAGATTTCTCAGTTCATGACACCTTTAACTGTCAGCTTAAGTTCAGCAAAAAATGTTTAAATGTTTCTCACATATTAAAAAGTGTTAGCACTATATATAACTATTATGTACTTTATTTTTTATAACTTTGCAATGTAAGCATCATAACAATATGTAAATACAGTAATACTGTACTATATGCATGTGTAGGCATTATAGGTCAGGCTTAAAATGCAACACTCCCCTGATGTCAAGTCTACTGTGTTCATCTTGGACCTTGAGCAATCATCCAGGTGGATGCTGCACACTGGTGGTGGATGAGGAGATACCCCCTGACAATGTAAAGCGCTTTGAGTGCCTAGAAAAGCGCTATATAAATGTAATTTATTATTATTATTATTATTATTATCTAAAATGAGGCATTTTCATCAGATATTTCCATATAAGTTGAGGTCTACTGTGTTGGTGTAATCATCATCGTAACTGTGACCCTTAATGGAAAAGAGATATTCAGAAATCAGATGTAATAGGAAATAACACATGTCAGTTATGAGTAATGAGATAAAATGTATGACCAACAAGAAATCAAGCACTAAACAACAGATGTTAACAATACTAAAAAGATTTTCACATGAAGTAATGGGAAAAGTATGATAAAGTATGTACTCACAGAATGTGATTTGGCCCCACTGAGGTGAATCATGTGAAAAGGAATTTGTGTTGCAAAGACATTCTGAATTTAACTACAATAAAACATTGATAAAAATCAAATTACACAAGATACTGGACTGTTGTAGCAAAGAGAATATTTGAGTACTGAGTACAGATATGAGTCATTCAATGCCATGAATAGGCACTCAGTAAGATATTTCATATGCTCCATACCTCTTTGGTGATGGCATTCGAGCTTTGGAGAAAGGCTTGTTTCCTGACACTGTACATACGTTGTTTGCCCTGTTAAGATCAGAAACCTCTGTCATACTCCAGTAAAACATGACAAAAAAATGCTTGGGTATATTGAAGTAACTGTCCATAACACAGTGGATGTGGACAGAAAAAAAAGGATGTTTTCCCTGAGAATCGAACCCATGACATTGGCATTGCTAGAGCCATGCTTTACTGTTTTACAGAATAAACATTCACAAAAACATTTATTGGAATCAGACCTCCACTTTTATTAACATATAACACTATGATAAATCAAATCTGGTAAATAATCCTTAAAATATATATATAATTTACAAATAGTCATTCATAATAAACATGCAGATACTTACTTGTTGTCAGAATCCCTGTCAATTTGATGCCCTTGACCTCTCCTTTAAAATATAGGAAAAATAGACATTAGTCTTTAGGATCAGCAAAATATATATTTCCATGACAAGTGTTTTCAGTTATATATATTTTTTTTTCAGGTATGAAAACATTGGGCTGCATAGCATATTGCCGTGTTTTGAACGACTAACTTGAACATAATCCCATAATGTTTCAAGAACACAATAGTCACTTAATTTTTAATGTTTTAATTTGTGTTTCAGACAAGAAGCAGATACCAGGCTCAAAAAGAAAGCCTAGTCTTTCTTTGCAATGACACAAATAAGATGATATCCTTAACAGGCTGATAAGGCAGTGTGTGGGTACCTTGAAAATCTACTCCAAATAGACCTCCTAAATCAAAAAGAGGAATAGAAAAATGCAAATGAGAAAAAAAATGCATTTTTATATTTAATCTAGTCATATCGTCATTTACAGATGAATGTTTCACAGCTACCACTCACAGCTACACTAATAGACATTGATAAGTGTTAATTTAACAGCTAGTGAAACGGTAGTGAAACATTTCTATCTCTATTTAAAAACTAATGCTGTGTTCTGTGCTGAATATAGACTTCTTTAGAACAGCACTGTGGCGACGTTTTCAATAACTAGATACTGTAAGCAACACGGGTAACACTTTAGAATAGGGAACACTTATTCACTATTAACTACGACTTTTCCCTCAATAAATTCCTAATTTGCTGCTTATTAATAGTTATTAAGGTAGTTGTTAAGTTTAGGTATTGGGCAGGATTAGGTATGTAGAATAAAGTCATATAGAATAAGACATTAATGTGTGCTTAATTAGTACTAATAAATGGCTAATGTTCTAGTAATATGCATGCTAATAAGCAGCTAGTTAAACCTAAAATAAAGTGGTACCCTTTCCTTACATATATGACACAAAAAGTTACAAACATTAATACTATGTTCATATTAAAATTTAATTTACAAGAAATAGATTAATTCTACAGACATGGGATATAACATTAAAGGGGTCATATGATACAATAATGTACAGTATTTGAAAAATAATGTGTTTTTTGAACATTAAAGCATGTCAACATATTCTGTTACACCAAATACACAAAATAATGATCTTTAAAATAGCATCATATGACCCCTTTAAACTTTAAGTGCTATTACTTTTGAAAATTGCAACATGTCAAAGTTAAAAGCAAATAATTATAATAATATTTTATCAAAATACCACCTGTCATCAGAACAACTCAGTTTTATACACATATTCATGGCATCTGAACATTCTGTCCTACACCTTCAACTGCTGCTAATAATTTTAACTATATCTTTGTCTAAAAAACAACCATAACTAAAATCCAAAACATGCCATAGATTGAGTATTTTTCCGCCAGAGGATCTGTTATGTCCCGGTTTGTTGCAGAAGAACACATTAGAAGCTGTTGTGTACTTGCCTCTGCTCTCTGCCACCAGGACCACTGCTGCCGTCATCTGAACGAAACCTGGTGATCACATAGAAGAATGGCAAGTTCATTCATAACCGATGGAGGCTGGCCAATGCAATGCAGTTTAAAAACAATCAAAAATATACTGATTACCTGCGAGACAGTCTTGATAGTCGACTCCACACTCTAAAAAAACATTTAAGACTTAGTAAAACAATTATGATGATTTTTACTTTCAGTCAGATTGTTAACGTATGGCGTCTTATTGTCACGTTTTATTGTCATGTTTTAACTATTCTAATTAGGAACTGTATTATTAGATATTGAAAACAGATCTGTGTGCTTTTATCAGCAGGAAGCATCTTTAAACAATGTACTTCCCCTCTCCACCCCATTCAGAATAGCACACCACCATGGTTTAATATCTGTCTTTATCTCTTTTTATAACAGAAAAATAATTTACTAATATTTTTTTTCTATTGTAACTGTATTAATAACCCAATGAGTTTAGATTTCTTTCCTATGTATCTTCTATTCATTTTCTATTGAAAAAAATAAGTTGTGATGTTATATACAGTACCTGGTGTATCAAAGTTCACTGACATTGACTCAAAAAAAGCCTCATTTTAAAATAATTTTAAAGTCAGACTGAGGCACAATAATGTTCCCAGGTAGAACTGCTGGTAATGCTCACCCATTGTCATTTCTGGATTGGAGATCTGCAATGCGCTTCCTGGGAACGATTTGAGTCATAAATAAATAAAATTACTGAAACATACAAGAATGTCATCATGCATTCTCAAATCCTCACATACAAGTGCAGTATTTTACCAGAAATCATTCATTTGTTCATCATTTTCATTCACAGTGTAAAACTGTTTTAAGAATGTGTCTTTTTTTTATTATTAGTCACTGATATTTATGTTATTTATAAGTCAGGTCCAGCCCTCGACATTCCCGTGGTGCTTGACTGTGCATGTGATAGAGGTGTGATCATCCTCTTTTTGAGGGATGAAGGTCAGGACAGACTCTGCTTCCCAGTTTCCATGACTGATGTCCTTGTAGCTCATGACGACTTTTCCAGTGTGGCTCCAGGTGAGAGTGGGCTGGTAGGACGGACAGGTGTGCCGGACAGAGCACTTGAAGACTGCAGGTTCACCCTCCGGCACAGACTGCTCAGCCTGCAGCTCTGGTTTTGATGCTTGCTCTGTAAATGCATTTTGAATGATTCACATTTAGGCTGTTTTCTTATTTTGTACCCTATTTAGTTGTTGTAATCACAGGTTGAGAGCTCAAAAGCACACTTACTTACCAATCATTTTAATAGAAACACAGTTTTCCACAAAGGAGTACTTGTCTTTTTTAGATGTTTCTAATTCCACCCTGAAACAATACGGGCCGTTGTCATGGTTTTTGACCTTATCAATCTCCAAGGAGCAGTTGGAACCACCCAGTGAACCAATCAGTTTTGTACGACCCTTGAAACTGTCTTTAACCCTTGTAGGGTCTTTGTGAAAAATAATATCATCCCAGTTGTCCTTCATGTGCCATATAGCTCTTATACGTTCAGAGGGCTGTTCTTGAGCAGGGTATTTGAATGAACAGGGCAACACGACACAAGATGAGACCAGAGCCTTCATTTCAGGCTCTACATGTACCTTCCAAACATCAGCAAACACGCCTGCGCAAATAACTGCAAAATAATAAGGATACAATTAGTAAAAAATTCTGATTTTGAATAGTTCACCCAAAAAATTACAATTTGCTGTTGATTTACTAATCAACACAAGATGCAGGTGACTTTCTTTATTCAGTACAACAGTAAAGATCTTTTTTAGTTGAACCCAATGGTATACTTGGTGATTCATAAAATGCAAGTCCAGAGCTACCAAAAAAAAGCAGATACAAAAAATTAAATGAATCCCAGAGGCTCCTGACAATATATGTAAGTCGTATGAAGCAAACAATCAGTTTGTGTAAGAAACAGAACATTATTTAGAAATTTTTTTAGTTTCATATGCACAACGTACTGTACAGTACATAATGAGCGTGAGCCTGCGGGACCGTTTGCCTGAGGCTAGATTAGGTAACAATATTGTAAATAATGTTCAGTTTCTTATACAAACTGATCATTTTGCCTCATAAGACCTCGCCAGGAGTTCAGGGGATTAATTTAGTGTTTTTGTATCTGCCTTTTTTTTTGACTCTCAAAGTGATGGTAGCCATGGACTTGCATATTATGAAACACCAAGGACCGTGGGTTAATTAAGCAAAAAATCTTCTTTACTGTTCCACTGATGTCACCGATATCTTGCATGGCCCGAGGGTTAGTAATTTAACAGTAAATTTTCATTTCTGGGTGAAATATTCCTTTAATAAACTTTAAAAAAAAAAACATGTAAAGAAGTTAACATTTTAATAGAAATAATTATTTCTAATAACATTCTAAAATTATTAAAATCATTAAAATAATTTATTCATATAATGTATGGAAAGAAAGCTTTAAAGTCATACAGTGAAGCCAGTAGAGAAAAATTCCTGCCCGTACATCCATGGTGGACTGGACTCTAGAAACTGAAGAGGCAAAAACAATACTGATTTCTTTGCACATACAATAATTTTTGTCTAGGGCACTGGATAGACCTCACTAATCATATAATTATATAGAGTTCATATACATTAACCTGAGTGTTAAACAGGACACTATAGTGAACTAAAATCATGAATAATACTTATAAACTATATATAAGTATATATATAT